TTAAATCCTTTTCGATCTTTATGAGTCAAAATGGTATCATACATCAAACTTCATGTGTTTACACCCCCCCCCCCCCCCAACAGAATGGTGTTGCAGAAAGAAAGAACCGCCATTTGTTAGAAATTGCCCGTGCCCTTTTATTCCAAATGAAAGTGCCGAAATTGTTTTGGGCGGATGTTGTTCACACGGCTTGTTTCTTTATCAATAGGATGCCTTCCTCTGTACTCCGTGGTCAAAACCCGTACTCAGTTGTGTATCCCTCCAAACCTTTGTTTGCCTTGCCTCCCAAGATTTTTGGTTGTACGTGTTTTGTACAGGATGTCCGTCCACTAAAGGAGAAGCTTGATCCTAAATCTTAAGTGTATCTTCCTGGGATATTCTCGAACTCAAAAAGGGTATAGGTGTTACTCCCCTGATTTAGAGAGGTATCTGGTTTCGGCTGATGTCACTTTTTTTTTAGGAGACCGTGTTCTCTGATAGCGTTCTTGGGGGTAGGGCGCCGGTGATAGAGGAGGATTTTCTTACTTATACTATCACTATTCATGTACCCACAATGGAGTCTGTTTCTGGGGTTGTACCCTCTGTTATGCAAGTGTATTCAAGGCGGCCCCGGGATGTAGTTGTGCCAACGGTCGCACAGGTGAATGCTCCTCCCCTACAACAATCTCCGTCAACTGATCTTCGAATTGCCGTGCGAAAAGGTAAACGTAGTTGTTGTCATCCACTTTATTCCTATGTTTTTTTATGGCCATTTGTCAGAGTCTTCTCGTATCTTTATATCCAAACTGGATTCTGTGTCTGTCCCTAAAACGTTGTGTCAGGCTATGTCTCATGACGAGTGGAAATCTGCTATGGAGGAGGAAATGGCAGCCCTTGAAGAGAATCAGACTTGGGATCTTGTCCATCTCCCCGCTGGAAAGTCTGCAATTGGATGTAAATGGGTTTACGTTGTCAAGACAAACCCTGATGGGTCGGTTGCTCGGCTTAAAGCGCGGTTGGTGGCTAAAGGGTATGCACAGACTTATGGAGTTCATTACACGGAGACTTTTTCTCCGGCTGCCAAGTTAACTTCTATGCGGGTTTTTCTTTCTCTAGCTGTTGTTAATGATTGGCCGTTATACTAGTTGTAAAAAATGCATTTCTACATGGTGATTTGACAGAGGAAGTGTATATGGAGCAACCACCTGGGTTTGTTGCTCAGGGGGAGAACGAGAAGGTTTGTAAGTTGAAGAAATCTTTGTACGGATTAAAACAGTCTCACAGAGCGTGGTTTGGGAGGTTTAGTAGTGTTGTTATTGAGTTTGGCATGCAACGTAGTGTCTATGATCACACTGTTTTTTATAAGCATTCTAACCGTGGCAGCGTTTTGTTAATTGTCTACGTGGATGATATAGTGATCACAAGTGGTGATGCAATGGGAATTGATGTGCTCAAATCTTTTCTTAAGAAGAAATTCCACACAAAAGATCTGGGAGTATTGAAGTACTTCCTTGGAATAGAGGTTGTTCTTTCTAAGAAAGGTATATTACTTGAAGAATCTGGGCTCTTAGGGTCGAAGCCTTGCGAAACTCCTATGGACTAGAGTGTTAAGCTTGTAACCGGTGAGGGGGAGCCTCTTGAAGATCTAGAGCGGTATAGGAGACTGGTGGGGAAATTAAATTACCTTACTATCACTCGTTCGGATATTTCCCCTTTCTAGTGAGTGTAGTGAGTCAGTTGATGGCGAATCCGACAAAAGTCCATTGGGAAGCTGCAGTTCGAGTTGTGAAGTATTTGAAGAGTGCTCCTGGGAAAGGAATTTTGTATGCCAATCATGGGCATGTGAGTGTTGAGGCCTTCTCTGACGCTAATTGGGCTGGGTCACCGAGTGACAAGAAGTCGACAACGGGGTATTGTGTGTTCCTTGGTGGCAATCTAGTGTCGTGGAAAAGTAAGAAGCAGGGTGTTGTGGCTCGCTCTAGTGCAGAATCCAAGTATAGAGCAATGGCTCATGTGGCGTGTGAGGTAACGTGGTTGTGTAATATTCTTGGGGAAATTGGTGTAGAGGTGAGTGTGCCAGTTTCTTTATGGTGTGACAACAAATCCGCTATACACATTTCGAGTAATCCTGTGTTTCATGAGCGCACTAAACATATTGAGGTAGATTGTCACTTTGTACGGGACAAGGTTCAGCAAGGGCTACTTTCTACTGTTCATGTTAGAACTGGTGATCAACTGGCGGATGTGCTTACGAAAGGCCTTAGTAGAGCCAGGATTGAGTATATTTGTAACAAGCTGGGCATGATTGACATCTATGCTCCAGCTTGAGGGGGAGTGTTGGAAGAATAATGGTAGATAGAATAAGTTGCTTAGTCCTTCATTTCCTTTTTGAATTATGTGGTTGGGAGTCTCTCAGCCTATGTATAAATAGGCTTCTACCTTGTACATCAAATACACAGAAATATATATACAGTTTCAACATTAACAGTTATTTTTGGTTGTAAATATTCTCTTTTCTTTTCTCATATTATTTTTTGATCTTTTAATATTTATTTACTTTGCATTGTATATTTTCATTTTTCTGTCATTAGTTTTCTTGGAGATAGGACAACCTCTTTGTATTATATGTGCTGTATTATTTTCAATGAAAGCAGAGGTGAATTTTTCCCTTCAAAATTCTTGATTTATTATGGCATCAAAGCCTTCATACAAAGAAACAGAGGGTGAGAAAAAGGTTGCTATTACCTACGTAGCTTCTTCTTATGCCTTGAACTCCAATGACAACCCGAGTAGTCTAATCACCCAGGTTCAATTGAAAGGAAAAAACTATAATGAATGGGTGATGGCCATTCGCATAGCTCTTAGGGCCAAAAAGAAATTTGACTTTGTAGATGGAAGCTTTCAACAACCAGCAGAAGACTCACCAGATTTGGAAGATTGGTGGACAATAAACTCCATGATTGTTTCATGGATTCTGAATACTATTGAGCCTACTTTGCGATCTACTATAACACTTAAAGAAAAAGCAGCGGATCTATGGGATGACATAAAACAGCGATTCTCAATCGCTAACGGGCCTCATATTTAGCAATTGCGTTTAGCCTTAGCAAACTGTAGGCAGAATGGTGAGTCAATTACAAATTACTTTGGACGTCTCAAATTGCTTTGGGACGAACTCAACAACCTTGAATGGATGCCTGTCTGTACATGTGGAGGGTGTAAATACAGTCTGAGCATCCAGTTGGAGAAACGAAAGGAAGAAGAACGAGTTCATCAGTTCTTGATGGGCCTTGATGGAGAACAGTACAACACCATTCGTTCTAATATTCTGAGTCAAGACCCATTACCCAATCTGAATCGAGTTTATCATATGGTTGTTCAGGATGAATAAGCAAGGACGATAATGAGTACACAAGACAATCGTTCAGGCCCCGTAACTTATGTAACGCGAGCAGGACAAGGAAATGGTGTTACGCTAGGGGGGCTAAAAAGGATGGAATGACATGTGGACACTGCAACCGCATCAGGCATGATACAAAAGGATGTTTTCAACTCATTGGATGCCCTGACTGGTGGGGTGTTAAACCACGATCTAATGGTCGAAGTGCAAGTCGAGGCATGCAACAACAAACTGGACGAGAAAAAAAGTGCAACACCAAGAGTCAATGTAGCACAAGCTGTTGTAGGTGAAATCCCTTCTCAAGCTGCATCGGTGATAAATATAGAACAGACTGCTATTGGAGGACTTTCAAAGGAACAATGCAGTGCTCTCTTGGTGTCCATAAACTTGAAACCAACCAACATCTTTCAGGTAACTTACCATGGATTATTGACACCGGAGCGTCAAACCATATGACAGGGACACTCAATCATATGATGAATGTGAGGACAATCAAACCATGTCCTGTTGGGCTACCGAATGGAGAAGAAACTTATGCAGCAAAGCAAGGCACTGTGGTGCTTGGTGAAAAATTGAGGCTGTGAAAAGTTTTATTTGTGCCTAAATTAAATTGCAATTTAATTTCTGTATCTCAACTCTTGGCTGATCTCAATTCACTAACAACTTTTGTGTTATTCAGGACCGAACCTCGAAGACGCTGATTGGAATGGGTGAACAACAAGGGGACTTTAGTTCTTGAAAAAGACAGAATTCATGCAAATCAATAATGTTTTAAGTGTCGCAAGCAGAGTTGTGGCATCAGAAGTTGGGGCATCCATCACCTACAGTAAATATATAGGTATATATTATTATAATATGGATAAATTACACTTTTGGCCCCCCTCCTAATTTTTTTTAAAAAAATAATCTATTATGTATATATTAAATGAACTCGAAAGTTACACTTTTAGTCCCTAAGTTATGTGATAATTGTAGAATTCGTCCATAATTGTTGGTCGTGTTCACTTTTCGTCCCTAAGCTATATTTGACGTTGCAAATTTCGTCCTTTTAATAACAGGTACGGTTGTGGTCACTCTTCCTTTCTAAGCTATACTTTGTTCCTAATGTTTTGTTAGTAAAGGGACGAAATTTGCAACATCAATTACGGAGTATATTTTAGGGACGAAAAGTAAGCATGACTAATAATTATGAATTCTTCAATTACCCTATAACTTAGTGATTAAAAGTGCAATTTTTCCTATTTTTACTATTGTATAATTTTTGTGTTATGTAAAAAATTCAAAAGTAATGTTTGACAATCTTAAAGAACGTACTCATATAATTATATATTTCATATATTATTGTGCATAGTATAATTAAAAATAATTATCAATAATAATTGGCACAATCACATATGGTATATATATATATATATATATATATTGTGTGGTTGGTACTAATATCGACTAAGATGATAAATTTTCTCTAAAAATTTGGGCCTCCAACCCCAATTTTTTCGCTCCGTCACTAACAGTTATGAATTTTCCTCCTAATTTTGAAGATGATAGTAGTTTGGTTGAATACAACTATGAATCTTTAAAATAATACTTAAAGAAAATTATGACGTGTAACGCAATCATATTTGAAATCTAAAGCTACGATAGATTTAAGTTCAATTTCATGCTTTCATTATTGTTTCCTTACAATCTGATATTGTTGGGGCTTTAAGAATGCAAGCATCGCTGATACGAGGAGTCATATATGTGCCTTTCAGTAAGCCATGTGCTATCCATTTATAAGCTGCTTCTGTAAGGTGTACGCCATCCCAGCTAACGTAAGACGAAGGATGTTCACAAACAGTAGATTCTGGAAGTTTACAACCAACGTTGCTGTTGTAATTGTATGGACCTCCCACACCACAACATGCACTTATGGTGCTGTTAAATCCTATATATATAGCATCATTCAAGCAACAATAAAGTGTCAATGACTGTTTGCATTGAATGGGTCACCCATCCTGTAAATCGAGTAACTTAACTACGGAATTCTTTGATTATCTAGTTGTTATATCCATTCTAAAAGCAATTAGTGATAAGTAAGTGGATATTAACCGTTTAACCACATCACTCCATGGTAAGCCACAATACTGCAATTTAACCACATTCCTCCCTGGTAAGCCACAGTACTGCACTTAAATGGGGCAATATGCTAAACTTGACCCAACAATATTAAAACGAGAGTTAATACTCAAAATGGACCAATTTCGTCCTAAACGATTTTGGTGACTTAATGTAGTCTTTGACTTTTGTGTTTTTGTTCAATTTAGTCATCTGTTTGTTATTCCGTCAAATTGGTGTTAAATAAATAGACAATTCAGTAATCTCAATATTGGTTTCTCTTTACTCTCAGCGTTGCGAAGTGCGAAATCCCTCTTTCTTTTAAGAATTACTCTTAGACATGCGAATCAAATTTTATGTTCGCAGGTTTGGGAGAAATTCGTAAAAGAAAGAGGGATTTCAATTCACACTTCGCAAGTCTAGGAGTTGACTAAATTGAGCAAAAACACAAAAGTATAGGACTGCGTTAAGTTACAAAAGTAGTTTACGACAAAATTGAGAAAAATCATTATAGTCGATGACCATTTTAAGTATTAACTCATTAAAAAAAAATGTGTATTTTAAAATATTTTGTAAATATGTACAAAAAGAACATACCAAATTTTCTTGGAGAGTTATAGAACTCCATTGCTGCGTTGTAGTAATCTGCATAAATTATGGTGGCATGAGGATGAAGTTCTCTGAGGCGATTAAGTGTTTCTTGAAGAAGTTTGTTGTGATACTCAGCGAACTCATTTAGCCAATTAAGACAACCAGTTTTGGAGTCATAATAACTATCATTGGAACTCATAAATTCTGTTAAATAAGAAGGTGAACATCCAATTGGTAGATTCCCCGGAACAACCAACGTTTCAGCTCCAAATTCAATCACTTCCTGGATCAAGAATATGAATCAACAAATCAAGTTGATGCTAGGTTGGTTAATTAGTTTCATTTTACAGAATACAAATAGTACTGTTATACTATAATAAGAAATACTCCATATTATCACATTTTGTGTCTGATTTGATTAACGAGGCAACTGAAATTATTTTTAATTTTTTTTATAATGTTGATTTAGTATTAGTATATTAAACTTATATGTTAGAAACTACATTAAAAGTATTATTAAATATTAAAAACATTTAAATTTAAAAATAATTTAAAAAATATTAATATAAATAAATAAAGAAAAAAAAATGATTTGAGCAATAAATAGTAAACATGATAAATAAAATGAAATAAATGGAGTAGCATTCAAGGTTTTTAGGTCTTACATTGATTGCTGATGCAATGGTTGCAATAACTTTAGGAACCAAAGGTTTGACCTCTTCAATGGGAATGCCTTGCCAAAATGCACCATTGTAATCATTGCCTCCAATCTCCCCCATGAGAACCAGAGAACTTTGCAAATATTTCTTGCACTCTGCTTATCATGATTGATGCAATGATTGTATTAATAATAATAATAATAACAATAATAATAATAATATATTTGATTGGGGTGTTTGGTAAATGGGTGTAAATTTATTGAGTTAGTGAGTTTGACTAGTTGATTTCATTAATTGATTGTAAAAAAGAGTTTGGTAAATTAGTTGTTAACCTTTAGCTGATTACATTCAAATGATTTTCTCAAAAAACTGATCGAAAAAACTACTTTGAGCTTTGAATTTTAGCACTTTGAAGCAAATAAGTTGTTACAAAAAACTAATTAATCAAACACTCATATTGATTGTTTAACTAAATCAAACAGCTAATAGTGGTCAAATAAGTTAAAATTGACTGATAGACTAATTATTTTACCAAATAGGGCCATTATTACATCTACTCGATATTAACACAAGATGAGTTCAGTTAGATTCAATTTTTAGTCTTTGAATTAACTCTTATTTTTTCATTGACTAGGACCCATTCTCAACCTAACATTTTTGTTGCTAATATCTCTTCCAACTTTAATCTTTTCATTGACAACAACTTATGTACTCATATAATAACCGTACAACATAATAATAAACATATCAAACTACTTTACTTGTTTGGTTACTTTGGTTTCCACGAATGATATTTATATCATTCGTACACCTAATCAATCATTAATAATTGCATTATTTATGAAAAGGAAAATAACATTTTTTTTTCCCTGAGTTATATACTTATAGCACTTTTCCCCCTAAATTATTTAAGTGGCTGTTTTTTCCCCTGAAATGTTAAATGGACATATTTACCCTTAAAATAAATATTTCATTTATTTTTCTTCTCCAACAAATTATGACCACAATTTGGTTCAACCCAAACAGACGCTATAGCAACCAAACCGAAATATTTCAATTACAGTTTAGAATCAAAACTCGATATTTAGAGTTTATTAAAATCGCGAATCGGAACGGCCGATTCATGTTCTAAACTGGAAAAAAATAAAATACATTTATTGTTGAATTTAGACTATTTTAAAATAAAAAATAAAATTTTAAAATAAAGACGGTTCAAAATCGCGAAACGGATCCGGAACCGCCGGTCACGGTTCATGATCCAGATTTTTCGATTTATAATTTTAATAAACTGAAATCCAAATATTGGGTTCTGGATCTGAATCATAACCGGAAACTTTTAATTCGATTGCTATAGTGTCCGGTTCAGTTCGAACCGAACTGTGGTCATCCCTACGTATACGCAATAATTTGTTGGAGAAGAAAAATAAACAGAATGTTTACTTTAGGGATAGAAATGTCAATTTAATATATCAGGAAGAAAAACCGTCACTTTTAGAATAATTGAGGGGACTAATGTGCTTACCTGAATAATTTAAGGAGAAAAAGTGCTATATGTATATAACTCGATGGGAAAAAGTGTCATTTTCCTTTTATGAAAAATAGAAAGTAAGTAATTACCAGATGGAGTGTTGCAAAATGTTTGTAGCATTTCCTTGAACCAGTTGAGCTGAGTTCCCAAAGAAGCATTTGATCCAGAAGGGTCTTCAATCCCCATGGCTGCCAATAATGAAGAATCCATTGCTGGACATCCAGCAATTGCAAAATTTACTCCCCCTATGAAATTGCTTTTGCTTGCGTTTTTCATCTCAATGTAGGGTGGTACAAATGGGAACCCCATACTTTGAGCTGCATTATTCATTATTTACAACATTATTTAAATGTACCCTAATTGCAGAGAAGAACCGGTGAGAACAACACTTTAAGTGAGAAATATGAACTAATATGATACGTCGATCTAAGATGATCAATGGTTAAGAGATTTAGTATAACAGGATCGGAGGCGGGCCATTTTCATAAATATATAAGGGAGGGTTATGTGACCTGTAAAAAGTGTGAACAAATGAAATACTAGCTTGGATCTTACTATTATTAAACTTTTAAGTTTACAATAATCATAAAATGAACTTGATCTTAAAAGTTTTCAATAATTATAAAATTAACCTCTTTTTTTTTTTTTGCCAAGCACCTTGGGCTCAAATGACATGTAGTGACCTCTCTTATATGGGAGATCGAGCCTTAGTGGAGGCGTGGGAGGTCATGAGATCGAGCCTCAGTAGAGGCGTTGTTGACTCTCTTTGTGCTTCAACCCCGTTGTTGACTCTTTTTTTGAAAAAGTATGTATGAACAGATCAGATACTATAATGTAATAGAGTCAGTAACTTTCAAAAAAAAAAAAATCTTTTTTTTATATATATATATACTAAAACCTTCAACTATTGATAAACTCCTGGAGGTTGAAATCAATCCTCACTTTTTATGGAGGAAATTGAACTACTGAAGAAATACACCTCTTTTATATATATATATATATATATATATATATATATATATATATATATATATATACACACTACAACCTTCAACTATTGATAAACTTTGGAGGTTGAAATCAATCCTCACTTTTTATGGAGGAAATTGAACTACTGAAGAAATACACCACAACCGCTACACGAATGATAGAGAAGCCCAATTTGCACCTGAAGACGACCATATATACATATATTGAATGATAGAGAAAATCAAGTGAATAGTTCCAATCAATTTGGTTGAAGTTGCCCCGTATATATATACAATAATAGCAATAACAACAAAAACAACAAATACAGGCAGCAAGCATGCATGTGACGCAGCATGATAGTTTTTGCATCTTACCAATGAAGTCGATGATGAGACGGCCGTCGGAGTACCGACCGGTGGGGCGATGGAAGAAAGTTTCTCCGTAGGGAATTGCGGCGGCACTGGATCGGAAAAGATGAATTAAGTTGCCTGTGTCGGCAAGAGAGTCGCCAAAACTAATGATGGATTCGTAACAACCTGAAGCCTGGACACCTGAAGCAAGCAGAAAGATCAGGATACAAATCACTTTCATGGAAGAATCCATTGCAAACGGAAATAAGTTGCTTTGCAGAGAATGCTAAGCGTGTTTATGATGTGAATATAAGTCTGCTACTTTATATACTACATGGGCAACAGGCAGTATACTACATGGGCAACAGCCAACAGGCAGTTGCCCCGTACCGCCCTATATATATATATATATATATATATATATATATATATATATATATATATATATAATTTGGGGTTGGGTGTCTCTCGGTGGGGTTGTGCTGTTAAATCTAAATCATTGATCTTGCTTAAATCAACGTATTATCAAAATTTATAAAAAAAAAAAAAAAATGGGTGACAATTTGGTAATTGCATATAGGTCAAATTTAAGGTGCGTGATTTTTATGCTTAAGGTGCGTGGTTTTTGTACTTAAAGTGCGTGGTTTGTAGGCTTAAGGTGAGTAGTTGTTAAAACTTAAAGGTGCGTCAACCTGAAACTTAAGGTGCGTGGTTTTCCTTCTTAAGGTGCGTTGTTATTTTTCTTAAGGTGCGTGATTTGTATGCTTAAGGTGCGTGAATTGTTGAATCTTAAGGTGCGCCATTTTAAAACCTTAGGTGTGTGGTTTTTGTACTTATGATGCGTGATTTTTGTACTTAAGGTGTGTGGTTTTTGTGCTTAAGGTGCGTGTGTTGTTTGCTTAAGGTGAGTAGTTGTTTAAACTTATATATAGTGCGTGGTTTGTATACTTAAGTTGCGCAATTTTAATGCTTAAGGTGCGTCAACCACACGGGAAGCTATACGCCTATACACGCACCTGAACCCTTCCATATATATATATATATATATATATATATATATATATATATATATAGGCTTACTCTCTGGTGCAAAAAAAAAAAAGGCCACAGTTGAAACATGAGGATAAATCCTAGCCTTAGATCATTTGCTCTTTAAAAAAAATAAAATTCATCACCTACGATTTTCAACAATGTGCGAAGACAAAAATGTGCACTGAGAGACACAAAGATGTTAAGAAATTATTGAAAAGACTAAATTTAATATTAGATATTCAACGCAAATCATAAACGACCATACATAATAAACGAGCAAACAAGATTTAACTCGAATTAGTAATTAGTGATCAAGATTAACTTATCTTTTAAAAAAAAAAAAAAAAAAAGTTCGCCACCGATGAACTTCAACAATGTGTAGTCCAAGGCAAAACAATACACACTTCGAAGGTATAACAATGTGCTCTGGAAGGTTTAACAATGTGTACTCTAAGGCAAACGAATATGTATTTCGAAGGCACAACAATGTGCTCTGGAAGACACAACAATATGCTCTAGAAAGCTTAACAATATGCTCTAGAAGGTCAATAATTTGCGTTGGAAGAGACATCAATGTGTGCTGGAAGACACATCAGTGTACGCTGAATGACACATCAGTGTGTGCTAAAAACCTAAGACAGTCGTCCATCTATCCATATCAATCAGAACAGAAACACTTTTTTATATAAAAATACGCGGTAGTATTTTTATAAATAATTCTAACTTTAATTTGAAGTGCAAGTAGTTGTGTAAAAGTTGACGTAACAGTTTCATAGAGTGCACCTAACTACCTAAGTGCAAGTAAAATTTATTACAAGTGCAACAATATAATATACACTGAGCAACAATATTAAGTGTATATAACGTTATCATTATTAGGTGTACCAATGTAAAAAGGTAAATTACTTGCACTATTATGTGTAAATGGTTATACATTTAAGTGATTTTACTTGCACACTTGCACTCGGTACTTGTACTTTCAACACATGTTACTTGCACCAAAGTTTGAGTTATATACAAAAATGTCATCGTTTTTTTTTTAATGTTATATATGATCTGTTAGATCTGGATAGATGGAGGGTAAATTGTGATTTGTTCTCATTCCTCTACTGAGCCCCCGTTCTCACCTGAATACGCCTTATATATATGGAAATATTCATATTAAAATCGGATTTTATGTTAAAAATGACCGCCTTTTTTTTCAGCAACCTTCCATGGTTGATCTAATTTTGTTTTATTTCTAAGATTTTATTATATTATATTAATCGAGATTATAGGTAATTTATTCTAACCATTTTATCAAATTAATAAGGGAAAATGGCACTTTTTCCCCCTAAGTTATATACATATAGCATTTTCCCCCCCTGAATTATTCAAGTGGCTATTTTTCCCCCTGAAATGTTAAATGGACATATTTACCCTTAAAATAAATATTTCATTTATTTTTTTCTCTAACAAATTATGACCACAAGTTGGTTCAAACCAAACAGACACTATAGAAATCAAATCGAAATATTCTAATTACAATTTAGAATCGAAACTCGATATTTAGATTTTATTAATTAAAATCGTGAACCGGGACGGCTGGTTCATGGTCCAAACTGAAAAAAAAAATACATTTATTGTTGAATTTAGACTATTTTAAAATAAAAAAATTAAAATTTTAAAAATAAAGACGGTTTAAAATCGCTAACCGGATCTAGAACCGCCGGTTCACGGTTCAGGATCCAGTTTTTTCGATTCATAATTTTAATGAATTGAAATTAAAATATTGGGTTCTGGATTTGAATCATAACCGGAAACTTTTAAGTCGATTGCTATAGTGTCTAGTTCAATTCGAATCGAACTGTGGTCATCCCTATGTATACGCAATAATTTATTGAAAAGGAAAAATAAATAAAAGGGAAAATGGCACTTTTTCCCCCTATGTTATATACTTATAGCACTTTTTCCCCCTCAATTATTTAAGCGGCTCTTTTTCCCCCTAAAATGTTAAATGGACATATTTACCCTTAAAATAAATATTTAATTTATTTTTATTCTCCAATAAATTATTACTATAATTTGGTTCAAACCAGATACTATAGTAACCAAACCAAAATATTCCAATTACAATTTATAATCAAAACGCGATATTTAGAGTTTATTAAAATCACGAACTGGAATGGGCGGTTCATGTTCCAAACTGAAAAAATAAAATACATTTATTGTTGAATTTAAACTATTTTAAAATAAAAAATAAAATTTTAAAATAAAGACGGTTCAAAATCGCGAACGGGATCCGGAACCGTCGGTTCATGATCCAGTTTTTTTTTTTTATTCTTAAATTTAATAAATTGAAATCCAAATATTGGGTTCTAGATCTGAATCATAACTGAAAACTTTTAATTCGATTGCTATAGTGTCTGGTTCAGTTCGAACCGAACCGTGGTAATCGCTACATATACGCAATAATTTGTTGGAGAAGTAAAATAAATAAAATGTTTACTTTAAGGGTAGAAATGTCAATTTAATATATTAGGGGAGAAAACCACCACTTTTAAAATAATTGAGGGGGCTAATGTGCTTACATAAATAATTGAGGGGGAAAAAGTGCTATAAGTATATAACATAGGGGAAAAAGTGCCATTTTCCCTAAATAAAATGTTTACTTTAAGGGTAGAAATGTCAATAAAATATATTAGGGGGGAAAACCGCCACTTTTAAAATAATTGAGGGGTGTAATGTGCTTACATGAATAATTCAGGGGGAAAATGTGCTATAAGTATATAACTCAGGGGAAAAAGTGTCATTTTCCCAATTAATAATATTTCATAGTTTATAAATACCTTTTATGGTGCTTTAAAGTTCTTTAATTTTTTGCCGGCAGTTAATAGTATTTTTGGCTCATACTATGATACTATTGGAAATGTTATTATGGGAAAATATTGCCTAATTAATAAAAGTAAGAGAGAATTTACACACACACACATAATATATATATATATATATATATATATATATATATATATATATATATATATATTATATATATATATATATATATATTTATTTATTTATTTATTCTGTGTGTAAATATATGGAGAAGTTCTGAAAGTGGTGTTTGAATAGGTGGAGTAGTATATATGATTCCTGTGAGTTAATTCTCAAAATAGTCCTCCGTTATTTTGGCGTTAAGTTGGTGTTAAAATGAAGGGTAAAATTAGAAATTTAGGTTTTGCACTTCAATTTAAAATAATTTGCGCACATATTTTTCAAATTAGGTTTTTGCTCTCCTAAATCTGCAATCAAAATGTGGATAATCAACTAGAAGGCCAGAAATATTTGCCAATTGGGAAGTTTGTGGATGAAGTTGAAGATGAACTTTTTTGTGCTTCTAGTTGATTATCCCACATTTTGATTGCAGATTTAGGAGAGCAAAAACCTAATTTGAAGAAATATGTGTGCATATTGCTAAAATGAATCACAGATTGCTTTAAATTGGAGTGCAAAACCTAAATTTCCAGTTTTATCCTTCATTTTAACACCAATTTAACGCCAAAGTTAATAGAGAACTATTTTAACTTAAAATTTAAAAGTCGGAAGACCATCTTAGAAAAATTAAAAGTCAATAGACAAATTTTAAAAAATTGCATAGTTAGATTACCATTTTGAGAATTAAGTATGATTCTTGTACATAGCAATGATAGCATGGACCACTGTAGTTTTCCAATTAAATACAATTAATTAATTCATGGGGTATAGTAGGACGAGTAGGTAAAAATTAAATGCATGACAAGCATATTGGAATAGAAACATTTCTATTTGGTGTCGGCAGCGAATTTTCCACAATTCAAAGGAATAGAAATACAATCAATTACATACACGTTTAATAGTTAATGCTTAAAATGATATTTTGAGTGATTATGACTTTGTGATGAGTTTCAATTTGATCCTCAATTATTAATTTATCAAAGGGAAAATGACACTTTTTTATCCTGAGTTATATGCTTATAGCACTTTTCTCTTTAAATTATTTAAGTGGCTGTTTTTTCTCTGAAATGTTAAATGGACATATTTACCCTTAAAATAAATATTTCATTTATTTTTCTTTTCCAACAAATTATGAACACAATTTGATTCAAACCAAACAGACACTATAGCAACCAAACCAAAATATTCTAATTACAATTTAGAATCGAAACTCGATATTTAGAGTTTATTAAAATCGCGAAACGGGACGACATGTTCATGTTTCAAACTGAAAAAAAAAAATACATTTATTGTTGAATTTAGACTATTTTAAAATAAAAAATAAAATTTTAAAATAAAGACGGTTCAAAATCGCGAACCGGATCCGGAACCT